AACGACCGAGGGCTGGCTCTGCCTCGCCCGACCCCCGAGGGTTGGACTCTGCCTCGCCCGACGTCCAAGGGCTGGCTCTGCCTCGCTCGACGTCCTAGGGCAGGCTCCGCCTCGCCTGACGTCCCAGCACTGGCTCCGCCTCACCCAATGTCTGCACCCTACTCCTTCATAATGATGAGCACAGGGTAAGACAGGACACTCAAGTCAACCACAGTACCGAGGACCATACCCTGCACGCCTATAGGAACGTATCATCAGGATATGACGGGACGGGCGCTTTAAGCCCTTCCAGGCATGACAGAGCCCAAACAATGTTGTAGGCGCCGACTTTTGTCTTACAGTGTTGTGGGCGCCGCCATCAACCCTCGGACACGGATCCTGACATAAGCATACGACAACCACTACGATCCAGGAGGAAACTCACATCATCTACAGTAACGAACGTATGGTCATTTCCCCGTCTGCTCCCAGTAGGGTTGTGGCTCGGCACCCTGGTGCGTCGCGCCGTCCGCCGAGGTAGGATGGGACGTGACCACTTGCTGAACGAAGCCAGAGCACGGCCCTATCAAGATCAGTGAACGTGCTATCCCTGGCACCGCCTGCCATGTCAGCGGGACCGGCTCAGAGGAAAAGGAAGACCCGACACCTTCGAAGGACCTTCTTGGCCTCTGGTTTTTCTTTTTTCTCCCATCTATAACCCCTGCTCCCCCTTGATCTATAAAAGGGAAGGCAGGACACCCTACTAAAGGGGGATCGATTCCACACACCACGCACCACGTAACACACAGCTGAGCAGCACTCGAGCTCTCAGCACCTATTCGACCTTTCCTTCAGAGATTTGGGACATGTCCCTCTCACGACCGTTTGTACCCCTACTACGAACCTTTCGATGCTAAAAACACGAACAACAGCAGCAAACTGGACGTAGGGACATTCTGCCCGAACCAGTATAAACCTTGTGTCCTTTAGCACACCATCCGGACCCAACGCACAATAAATACAAATTTACTAGTTGGTATTTACTCGAAACACCGACACATATTTTTTTTAAAAAAAGATTTTGCCTGTGGGGATCGATTGCTTCAAAAAAATTATTAGGGATAAGTTATATTGGCGATGTGCAAAATCATATTTTCCAATAATCCAAAAATTACCATCTTATCAGGGAGGTTGTGTTTGGGATCTCCTACAGATGCTCTAAAGTATACAAACACAGCCAAAAAAAAGATAGCCATCCAAGGTTCAAAAAAAAATCATTTGACGTGTGTTCCTCACGTTTCCGGTTCTAGCTAGTTTCATATAGTTAGATATTTCTGAAACATTAGGATTGTTTGTATACCGGTACTAATTGTTGGTCATTTAATGTTTTTTACGGCACTAAAATATATAGGTGAATTAATGGATTGATTTAGTTTTTAGTCCACACACAACCTAGCTAGCAACTAGTTCATTAATCGGTATGAGAGTGCTAAAAGAGACTAATAGCTGTTCGTCTATCTATCAAACAATGTAGGTTAAACTTTACTCGCCTAATAATTAGCCATATTAACCAGTGGACTAATAATTGCTTGTAATTATGGACGAATTTGCTTGTTCAGTTCATAGCCGAGGAACGAATGCGACCCCGACCCTGAAACCCTAGCCGCCCAAAGGGCTCCCCGGCCGCCCCGCACACGCCGCCGCCCGGCCCGCCTTGACGTCGGCACCCGCACACGCTGCCCCTCTCCTCCCTCCCCACCTCCCAACCACCCTCCGAGCCACATCCTCATGGAGGTCCAGGTTCAGGCGTGCCACAAGGCGCCCGGGCTCCCCCATCCCACGGGCGGTGGTGACGCCAAGACCGACCGCCCCTCCCTCCTCCCCACCTCCTCTCGAGCTGGATCCTCAGACGAGTCCAGTGTTGGGGCCCCCATCCCCGCCACCGACCGACGGCCGAGGGTCTCCGTGGCATGGATGGGTGACTGTCGGCGCCCTCCGCCTCTATGCCACCGGTGGAAGACGCCGCCACCACAGCACCTCCTGCAGGCGTTGCGAGGGGCCCAGATCTGGCGTGCCCCTCGCCCTCTCCACCGCTAGGACTGGCCCTCAAATGACGCGGCCTCCCACGTGGCCTCAACGCTGTTGGCCGGTCGCGAGGAGCGCCGCCTCCACCGCCGATGACCACTCCATGCCGCCTCGAGGCCAAGACTAGGCCTTCAGGTCTGTGGGCGTTGGTGGCCCAAGTCGGGACCCAGCGGTGCCTCTGGGCACCCCTAGCTCGCCCACCCTCTCATCGAACGCAGCTCTGTTCTACCGTAGAAGCAAGACTCTGTGAGACGGCGACTGAGTCCACGACGACGACCACCCCGCCACTTACACGGATGCCGCTTGTCGTCCAGCCAAAGCCGGTCATTGTGTCCCCACTATGCACCCAAGCTCATTCATTCCTGATTTTTGGCTATGGGAAAGCGGAGGCGAGCCGGCGGGGTTTGGCAAAGGCGGAGGAAGCACTGCATGGGTGCGTGCCCACATCGGTGTGTGGCCTACCTCCTCGGCCGATGGATGGCCGTATTCCTACCGCCAAGACCTTGGTTGTCATGACAAGTCTCCACCCCCAACGTCGATGGTGGTGAGAGATCCTCCCCCGGCAGGAGGTATGACCTACGGCAGCCTCGGCTGAGCCTCGCCGTGGCACAAAGCAGCCTCTACAGATCAGAAGGTCCCCGTGGAGCTTCACGACAAATGCTTCAACTGCCTTTCCTACTCACACTGAGTAGCGACCTGTCGGTGGCCACGGTGTTGCCTGCACTATCACGGTTTCTGCCACCTCGCCAAGGACTGCAAGCAACCCAGACGTGCTTTAGCAAAGACGACGAAGGGTGGTGACTGAGCGGCACCCGCTTCGCGGCGACAAAGAACTCCATCGGCCTCCTCAAGACGCGCATACCGTGGCGGTTCACCGAGCTTGACTGGGCAGGTGGGTGTCTTTGGTGCCAAAGGTGCCGATGGACCCGACAGCCAGCGATGGCGGCACTGGAGTAAGCCGGCGAGGGCGCATACCGGGGCGTGCATGTCACCACCACGACAGCGGTGCCATTGCCTCTCATCGCGCACAATGCTTTCCCAAGCCAGATCTGTTGGTGTTGGAGCTGTGTGCGTGTACAAGGCCTCCCACGTGGGTCGACCCAATGCCGGAGGAGCTCGCCGCCTCGCTCATCATGAGCTCCTCAGCACGAGCGCCAGCTCCTGGATGCTTGCCTGCTGCGACGGCCTCTCAGGTGGACGCATCGCTGGAGGGCTCCCTTTCCCAGGCAAAGACTGCCCAGTGGATGACGGACTCACGTCCGTTGTCGCCTGTGCGGGGCCCACCACAGGTCACGTCGCCACGGAGGGGACAGCCCAGCGTCATGGATGCCGAGGCGCGCCCTGACCCAACGTTGGTCGGGGTAGCCACCCAAGGAGACCTGATGGATTGGGCTGCCACAGACGCCGTCAACCGCACTCCATCTCCTCATACGACCTTTGCCAACAGAAGCCTCAAGCGCTTCACCAAGTGAGTCACAAAGGCGAGGCAGCCGCCACTCCTGAAGCTTCCTGGAGGCGATACGACCAATGCCGAACGTACACCGCCCGCGCTTCCAAAGAGGAGCAGGCGGATAGCGGCGCAGAGCATATCACATATCCCGACGTCCAAGCAAGGTGAGCACCTTGTGCTCAAGCGTCTGGGGCTAACCAGTGGAATGCCATCGCCGTCGACGTCGGCTCTGAAGGCATACGATGAAATCTTCAGCGTTGACCCCGGTAATATGCAGGCGCTACGTGAGTTGTTCCCACAGGACAGTGACGTGGGTGCACATAAGCGGCGCCGTCTCCGCTCGGCTGCCAGGGCATAGGCCTCATAGCAAGTGTCGCTAGTCGGGTTGATCAGTGTCCAATGTAACAGCATAGCTTTCAGTACTCTAGGGACGAGAGTCCATGTACTGCACTTATGACCACCTAGGGCGCCGCTAAGGCGTGTTGTATTAAACTTTTTCTTTACCTTAATACAAAGACGCGCGAACCTTTTGCATGATTGAGAAAAAACTACTCGTAATTATAATTTATCCAAATAGTTTCGTATATGTTTTTTTTTGTCCTATACTAATGTCAATGATTTAGCCTTTTAGGAAATAATATTAGCTTTCGTATATTTAACTTACTAGGGCTGTGCCCGTGCGTTGCAACGGAAAATCACGGCATTGCCTTCCCAATTATGGTCTAATTTTTTCCGTCCTCGATCAGTCAATCACGGCATTGCCTTCCATTCGCATGCACAGTGAAAAAAAACTAGAGGCATTCTAGGTTTCTTTCCTTTAATTGCGCCGGTAGGGAAGCAATTATATGGGAAGTTTTTTTGTGCTGCCGGGTGGACATGTGTTGAGGGGTGTTTGGTCCTGCCGGGTAGACGTTGACAATCCATATATTTTAGTTGTAGAGATGACGACTTGATGAAACTATTTTGATGTTTGTAGGTGTTAGTAATTTTTTTAGAAAAAAAAATTACTTAGAGCTAGAGAAAATTTATTTATCACAAACTAAACTAACGTGTGCTTGCAACCGTAGTAGCAAGAAAGAGAGTTCATATGTCGCTCGCTCGGAGACAGGACACTGCGCTCATGCAATGCATCCGACGGAGTGGGATGGGAATGGACCTCTCTCTTCTCCCTTTAGCAACAGTGTAGACGTGAAAAAGCTGCAGACAGACCTTGTCCTTTTCTCTCCACTCCCCCTCTCTCCCTTCCTTTACTCCATCCGACGCTGCCCGTTCTGCTGTATCGCACAGGAGGCACGTTGATGGCCATTGCCCATTCTTTAGGGAGAGACGAGAGGAAACCGCACAAACCCAGCAGCTGTCTTCGCTTGCTTCTGCATTGCCCGTCTCGTTCCCTTTCCCCTCCCCCTCTCTCCCCCATTGTGAGCTTCGGAGCTTTCTCTCCCCCATTGTGATCTTCGGAGCTTCATCAGCTAGCTGAGAGCCGAGCATGGGCCTCGGACAGCTGAAGGACGCTGCGCTCAGGGAGCGTCGCCGTCGTCTTCTTGGCGCGGACATGGTGGCGACGGTGAGGCGTCCAAGTCGTGCCCAGCTCGGTGCGCTCGTCGACAGAGAACGGCAAACACATAGCCACCTTGCTGCCGTAAGTGTGTGCTTGCTTTTTGCTTCCATATATATGTGTTCTACTGTTGTTGAAGGGAAGTCGTTTAAATCGTGGGGGTCTTTTTTTTTGTCTGTTTCTTTTTCAGACTGCTACAAGTGATGAAGAAACAAGAACATTGGAGACTCTGAGGACGGGTCGCCCCACAAATGCTCACCTTGCTGCCGTTAAGTGCGCTTGCTTCTTGCTTCCATATATGTGTTCTACTGTTGTTGAAGGGAAGACAAGCTGTTTTAATCATGGGGTCTTTTTTTGTTTGCTTCTTTTTCAGACTGTTGCAAGTGAAGCAAAAAGAGGATTGGAGACTCTGATGATGGGTCGCCCCACAAATCCTCTGCATACCTCGCCAACAGTAGCGGGGAAATTCACGATGGAGGCCCGTGCAAGCTCGGCAACATGTTAGATGCGAGCCCGATTCACCGTTCCTGCGGGATGCACGACCCAGTGGAGGTTGAGGGACTCCTCTGCTCCAATGCCCCTTCTGAGATCCGTCCTCATGCCCAGCTCACTGGTGCGGCGCTCATCGATGGAGAACGGCGAATCCATCGCCGCGCTGCCGTAAGTGCCTGCTCACTTAGTGCTTACGAATTTCTATGAGATCTGTATGTATCCCGGTTTTTTCATGAAAAATTTTAAGTTGTTTTCGTAGATCCTCCCCTGCTTTTTAAAGTTGATATTTTTTATTTAAAGGGTGTAGAAAAATTAGTTCAGTAAGTATTGAGTTGACTGCTACAGCATATATTAACAGGAAAAATAACCTTTTTTTTTGCAATTTCAACTCTGTGCTTAGTTTACTCTTCAGACAAAAATAATATGCATCTCGCACTAGACTGACGCTCACTGTTTCCTATTAAAGGGAAAGTAGTTTGATCCTCACATCTTTCTTTTTTTTTTCAAGACCACAACGAGTGAAGAAGTAGTCGGGCTGCAACAAGTGAAGCAGCAATCGAGCCGGAGACGCTGTCCTGGGCCAGCGGAGGAGGACTTTCTTCTTCAGATTGAGGGACCTCTCTGCTCCAATGTTGGTTCTGAGAGTCGTCGTCCTCATGCCCAGCTCAGCGGTGCGGCGCTCGTTGATGGAGGATGCCAGACCCATCACCGCGCTGTCGTAAGTGCTTGCTTAGTGCTTACTCCTTCCAGATATATATATATATATATATATATATATATATATATATATATATATATATATATATATATATATATATATATATATATATATATATATATATATATATATATATATCCTGGTTTTTCATTGGAATTTTTTAGTTGATTTCGTATATCCTCTCCTACTTTTTAAAGTTCAGGAAATTCATTTCAAGGGTATAGAATTAGAATAGACTAATCATCAGATCTTCTTTTGTTTGTTTGTTCCTTCCTCAGACTGCAACGAGTCAAGAAACAAGAGGGCCGGAGACTCTCATGACTGGTTTCAGCACAAGTGCACTGCGTTCCTCGTCAGCAGTAGCTGGGATAGGGAAGACCATGGTACAGCAGACCCTAATTCACCGTTCCCACGGGATGTCCGACCCAGCGGAGACCCATCGCTGCGCTGCCGTAAGTGCCTGCTTACTGCTTTGACATAAGGATAAGGAAATTTGTTTAAAGGGTTCAGAATAAGAATAGACTAATAAAAAGGAGTCTAAGTTAGTTCACTACATGTATGTTCAAACTCTTCTTCTTAATACCATAATACACAAATCTTTTGCGCATTCGGAAAAAAAAGTTAGTTCACTACATGTTTGTTTTGATTTGATTGTTATATATAATAGGAAAAGGAGTCTTTTTTTGCAATTTTAAAAAAAATATGGGCATCTCGCACTAAACTAAGGCATCACTGTTTTCCTGTTTTTTTATATATAAAGATCACTGTTTCCTTGTTGAACGGAATGTTGCTTAATCATCGCATCTTTTTTTCTTTCAGATTGCAACAAGTGAAGATGCAGACGGGCTGGAGACTCTGATCCCTAGCCAGGAGCCCAGGATAGTGATTCTAATGGTAATGATAGCATGATGATGCCTATTTTCGTGAGGCATGGTTCTGGGGAGTTGACCTTCACTATCAGGATGGATCAGTCTATCAATGACTTGATGCAACTGTATGTACAGAAGACAAAGACAAAACTGGATAGTCAGTACTTTGTGTATGAGAGGAAAAGACTTGAACCTCATCATAGTTGGTTGTCATATGGCTTAAAGAGGGACACTATGGTACATGTATGTACCAGGCTTCTTGGAGGAGCGTAAGTTCAATAAAATTGCCCTCGCTTAACAAAGAGAAATAGACTTTAAACTTGCATAACAAAAGCATTTAACAACAGTTATAGAAATGAATCATCAATTAATATTAGTGTGTTCCTTTTATGCTAGATTATTTGTTTTCTTACTCAATTAGAAACTTAAACTTTCTTACTTAAAGAAAAAACATCTATAACCAATGCCTAAGATTTACCAAACCACTTTATATCTTGCTACACTTATATCTTTATTTCACTAATAGTTAAATTGCATACATTTCAGGAATGATCTAAACCTACAAGACTATATAAACAACAACAAACACAAATTTGTACAAGTGGTTCCTCTCCCTGATGGTCGTGCTTCACTACAAATGACCAGACTAGGATATCAGTTCCTTTCGTCATGGATAAACTGCTTTACAACAGCATTTATTGTAGGCAGAAGTTGTAATGGTGAGTTTAAGTTAGTAGGTTTTATATTTGCTCAAGGCCACATCCGCTCAACAACGAGACTAGCGAGACACACTAAAAAACCTGGTTCAGTGGCAGCTGATATTACTAAGTTTGTTGAGGAAGTGGAAAGCCTCCTTCTATTCAGTGACATGCAAAATGTTGTCTCAAAGCGTCCACCATACGTAGAAGCTTGTCTGAGGATTTTGGGTGGTCTTGTGGCACCTGGTGTAACAAGACCTTTAGCTACTGTAATCGGTCCCTTGCCAAATAAGTACTCCCTCCATACTAAAAAATAAAGTCATTTTGGGCAGCGACACGATCTCCAAAGTATTACTTTGACTCCTTATTTTTATAAAATATTTATGAAAAAGTGATATATGTATATTTTTATGAAAGTATTTTTCAAGACAAATCTATTTATATGGCTTTCACATTTTCAAACTCAACAACTTAAAAGTTATTCATGATTTATATTCCCAATGTTTGACCCAAGCCTTGTTCAAAACGACTTTATTTTTTTAGTATGGAGCGAGTACAAGCTAATTCTTGACACACTTGTATGTTGTATGACAAGCTATGCCAGAGAAAGACTGATTATTGAGTTATTCCGCAAGTATGAAGGTGCGGATAAAAATGAAGCTTCACTTTGGAAAAGTGTAATAAATGATGCGACTTTCCCACCTACATGGCGCACAGATCTCTCCACGAGTGCAATGTTCAATTATTTTATTTAGAAAAAAATCAGCGTCGGCAAACCATATCCAAAAGACAAAACTGACGCCTTTACCCTTTTGAGAGACGTGGTTATGCATGCTGCAGATTGCAGTGTAAGCTGAGCTTTAATACTCTTCACTTAGTGCATCTTTTTTATTTGCTCTGGCCTCAGTTAGAGGAACTGTTGTTTCAGCATAGTGGTATATTTATTGCCCCAAATAAAACGTGTGCTATAGGATAACTTCCTGGTAGGTTTTAGCTGTAATAATCTTTTTCTAAAACAAAGAGGCGGGCATGAGAGTAATTTGCTATTTTTGCATGGTTTGAGTTAGCTTCCTTGTTAGTACCATTCCAAAGATCATATCTTTGGTCACCCCTATAGTCCATAAGTGTCCAGAAGCAATCCAAACAAAGTAACAACCTCTCAACGGTCAACTTCTCTGTACGGCTTGGTTGCCTTTGTTTATCTATTTCTTTATTAAAGAATAGAAAAAATTAGTTAGAGAATAGTTGTGACATCATGTGACTTGAGTTAACTGTCATAAAGTCATGTCATGTTAGCTTCATGCTAGTCCTATGAAGAATTTGTTTGGGCTTGATTGAAAAAGAAAAAAATAGTTTATTAAAATTTAAAGTGCAATATCAAACTGAGTTCTTGTTTTTTATTTTCAGGAAAATCCTAATGCACCACAGTCTGGTGAGGAATTGAACTGATGATACCTGCCAATGAACATTTAAATGAGTTTCTTCCTTACATCATAAAGAACCTTATTGAGAAGAATATTGATCTGAGCGCAGAGTATGCTTATCTGAGCTTCAAAACTTTTAGCCAGGTTTATGTGGAAAGTTTTAACTTATTATTACCAGTAGGTTGTCAGCAGCTTTTTTGTCAGCTTACAACATCTGTGATTCTTCAGATTAGGTACTCGCTATGCTCTTTTCAGTTTATACTGAATCATGTCTATATATTTTGGGATTTATAATCTAATATTAAAGCACTACTAGTGAGGCCTATTTGGTTTCTTGTGTGAACCTTGAGCCAGGTCTGGTTGAACAGCCTGCTTTTGTTTAGATCTGTGGTCCTCCCCTGATCTAGGCTACCTCAATGCAAGGTTCTATAAGTTCTTGTCTTGTCCGGCCCCAACAAGTGCAGTGGCATCGTGCCTCTGTGCGGCCTTTGCTCTGAGATCGAAGTGTTAGGGGATACAGTTACCCCTGCATGATATCTCTCTTCTATTCTATTGCTTTCCACATCCAGCCTATAATGAACTTCTGGTGGACAGCGATCTGATAAGTAAGGTGCGTATGTGGAATGCATAGAAATGTTCCATAGTTAGTCGTACAGAACTCCAGAACGTTATCTCCTATCTAATTTGTAGTTAGAAATTGAATCTGAGTTGAAGAGAAGCTAGTGATACGTGATTTAGCACCAAAACATCCTATAGCTAGTCATACTTGATTTAGCATCAGAACGCTATATCAAATTTCAAAACGTCCTACAGCTAGTCATATTTGATTTAGCATCAGAAAGTTATATCAAATTTGTTTTCTTGTTGGATGTATTTCACCTATTAGTTTACCAGTATTTTTCTTTTGCTACGATTGATAATAAATAACCTGGAGCCTGTCCTAGAGAACTTGGCATTTTCTGAGAATATTCAGGTTTGTTTGCCAACTTGTGTAAAAGTATACATCCTTTTTTAACCAAGAGTTGAATATGGAGATGATATAGGCTTGCAAGAGGTCATCTTACATAAACAATGGCAGGGTTGCATGTCTTATGGTTTATGCATGCGGCAGGCGTTAGGTCTGATGCTTGCAGGATGTGTTACTATTGGGAACTTTCTGGTTTTATTTTTATGTGAAAAGCACCATCTTTTGATTGCTGCTTATAATGTTTCAATTTCAGATATGAATATATGACATTGTTAAGGTTTGCATATGGATAGTACCATCTTTTGATGCTACTTATAATAATGTCTCCGTTTCACCTGTGAAGATAAGACGTTATGTTTGCAGATGGACACTGTCTGAAGCTTTGCTTTTTTATAATTGCTGGTGGATCCGAAGGTACTCGTTACAAGAGCGCATGCGTTCTGTCCATGGATTGATGCTGGCATTAGTGTTCTGTTTGTGATTGATGTCATGCCTGTTGTTTTTGCAAACAAATCTAATCGTATCTATTCGTATTCAGAATGTTGTGACTTAATCAGGTTTTATGGTATTCGTATTCAGACTGTTGTAACTTAATCAGGTTTTATGCTACATTCATAGATGAGCGTTAATTAGACCTATGTATGTATGATACCTCTGGTAGTAGCTACTTTTATCATATTATTAGCTACAAGCATGCTTGTTCACTATTTTGATACCGTACCTCGGTAGCTTTGACATTTTTCTTTTTCGAGCATTTTTTTTCACTTCAACAAATCAATTTCCTGCTTCACCTCAAACAGAGGCAATGTCTTGCACTGACATGCTCATGGTGATGCTGCCACGAATCACACAAAACATAGCCGTTGGATTGACAGTTCAATTTAGTTTAAGCACGTTGAAAGAGAAGTCTTTTTTGGGTGGGGGGAGGGGGGAATGCCGAATACCCCTTGTAGCTCAACCATGAGCACTTTCATCTCTTTCAGTAACCAGCATTCCATGTTTCGCCTGTCATTTCATCACCATTAGCTGCATGATATATGTTCGTGGGACAGTATGTCAGTAATTTCAGTCAGCAGGCTACTGGTTTAGATTACCTGTCTTGATCGGCAGGCCCATCACCAAGATCTTGCTGTCTACAGCACCGCTGCATGGATGATAAATACAAAGACTGAGACCTCTGAGAAAGAGAGTGATGGATGGATGTTAACCGTGTACATTAACACGACTATCAGATCAGGTATAGTACAATGGTGGGTGGGTTCGTGGAGGTCCTCGTGCCGTTCAAGCCGGCGATCCTCATGCCGTTCAAGCTGGCGATCGACCTACTAACCTACGTCAACGCGCTGCTCGACGACGTGCTGGCCATACTTTCATCTCATGTGCTCTGACCATGAAACTGCCATTCTTGTCGCGGAGTGTTTCTTCGAGCACAATCTACGACAACCTGAGAAGGTCGGGGATTACTCAGCTACCACTATTTTTTTTTAAGATCCGGTTGCCCGGAATTATATTCTGGGACCGCATTTCGCTGCTTCCATATTTGCCATTGGGTGAGAATGGCTAAGGACTGCGCTGCCTTTGTGCCCCTATCTGTCATTGCCAAGAACCAATCCTCCAGCATGTGTTGAGCAGACCAAGCGGCCGGGTGTAGGTGGGCACAGTTGCTCCATGTTGCTACAGCTACCACTAATGTATATCAAAAAGAAAATAAATCTCGAACGAGTTTGATTTGAATTTTAAATGTGGTTCGGTCTGATTTTCACTTTGGATAATGCTCTGACTTGAACGTCTGGTGTTTTCCGGACGCGGCAGATAACGATTGGCTATGGAGCCCACGTGTCCTCCTCCATTCATCTCTCCACGGCCTTATCCGCTCGTCGCACCGTCCGCTCATTCCCATGCCGCCTCGCTCCATCCACAATGCACGCCTGCTCGCGATGCAAGGCTCCGCGGCGCCGCGCACCGGATCCCACGCCGTTTCTCACAATCTGCTCGCCCACGCCCCGTGGCTCGCGTGCCTCTCGCCCCTCCCGTTGCTTGTGCCGCCAGCTCCCTCCCTAGCCAACGGCAACACCCTCACCCACCCCGATGTCCTCCTCTCCCTCTGCGGCATCCTCCTCCCCACCCTGGCGGTTCCTTTCCCGCACCGGCGACTTCTTCACCCACCCCGGCGTCCTCCTCCCCCACCCCGACAGCTCCTTTCCCCACCCCGGCGTCCTCCTCCCCCACCCCGGTTGCACCCCTCCCCCCACACCAGCGTCCTGCCACTACTACAGAGTGACCTACCACCAACACATCTATCGCCGTCGGTATCATTAAAAACGATGGTGATAGCTATCACCAATGGTTCGTAATATGAACCGTTGTTGATAAGAGTATCACCGTCAGTTCGTAAGAACGTCCACATCGATAACTATCACTGCTGCTTCGTCTTACCAACCGACGGTGATAGTCCATCATCACAGCCGGTTTGCACCACCAGCCGGTGGTGATAATGTGCTCCTCATCACTGCTGCCTTGCCATATGAACCAGCGGTGAAGACATTTTCACCGCCAGCTCGTTATATGATATGACGGTGATAACCTTGCTGCAATATTAATAAATTCATAAATTTTTCAAATAAAGTCACATGAAAACAAACTTTCTATCAAAGTTGTAGATCTCGATACAATCGACAACTTCATAGTTGACGACTTCTTCATTTGAAACCATTTACGGTTCTAGAATTTTGTTTGAAGCGCTCAAATTTTGAAATTCAATTTTTTCGAATTGTACAAACGACCCTAGATGGAAAAACGACCAAAACCAAATTTGTAGATCTCGATGAGATATAAAACTTTGTAGTTGACAACTATTCCATTAGAAATCATTTATAATCTCAAATTTGTATATGAAGTCTTAAAATTTTAAAAAACCAAAATTTTCAAACAACCTCGGATGGAAAATCGACCAAAACAAAAGTTGTAGATATCGATGAGAGCAACAACTTTGTAGTTGATGAGTTTTTTCATTTGATATCATTTGAGGTCCCAAAAGTCTGGCTGAATTTTTGATGTTTTGAAATTCAAATTTGTCAAATGATCTCAGAATGCAAAACAACCAAAATCAAAGTTTAGGGTCCTAAATATTCATTTTAAATCTTGAAAAGTGAATACTAGGGGAATGGACATGCTATATAGACACAAGTGACTTAGGGGTGGAGTGGTTAGAGGAGAGTGGTTGGAGGAGCTAAGGACAAAGGTCTCAAGTCCGATTCCCAGCACAACCGCGTACCATGAAAAATAGCATGGAGCTGGAGCTAGAGTAGCTTCCTGGTTCCATGAAGCTAGAGCTGGTGGGGGGCTTCCTAGGATCGAAACAAAATATATTGATATTTTTTGGCCTATTTTTGGGATTTTTGAAAATTCAAATCACCGTCGGCTGGTAATACGAACCGACTGTGATAAGAATGTCATCACCAATGACAACTTACTGCCGAGACCGAAAAGCGTTTGTGATGGGCTTTACGAACTGCTTGTGAAAGGTCTGAATGTAGTAGTGTCCCCCACCGGGAGCCCCCAATGCCCAGAGATCCAGCGGCCATGGCGCTCCCCGCGCCAGGCTCTCTCTCTCCCCTATGTTGCAGTTATATGTTTTAATTGTTTCAGATGTTTTAGAGGTATGTTGCAGTTAAATCATATGGATGTTGTAAAAGTAGATTGGAGATGTTGCACATGTTGTATATGTTGCAAGTGTTTCAGAGGCATGTTGCAAGCGTTTTGTTCGAAATGTTTCATCTGTTCCCATACGTATTGTTGCAAGCGTTTGATCGGGATGTTGCATATGTTCCACACATATGTTGCAACAGTATGTTCCAAAATGTTGCATCTATTTCTATCTTCTGTTGCAGCAAGTGTTTTCATGTTGCAAGTTGCAAGTGTTCTATCTGGATGTTGCATATGTTTTTACACATATGTTGTAACTGCATGTTTTAGATGTTTCATCTGTTTGAGACGTATGTTGCACTCAAGTGTTTCATGATGCATGTGTTTCATGCTGTTCAGAGAGTCATGGGGCACCGGGAAATGGGGGCGATGAGATGGTGGACGTGGCGTGCGACGCTCTAGGGGCCCGCGTCGGGGGCACGATGGGGTAGGGGTGCGCCTGTGGTGGCGAGGCGAACGAATGGGGATGGGGACGGGGGCAGGCGTGTCAAGCATCGGGGGGGAGGGGGCGTCCGATGGAAGTTGGTCCCACATGCATGTGTGTGGGAGCGAGGGGTTATGGACGGGTGCGCGGGCAGGGGCAGAGCAGTAGTGTACGCGGGCATCCGGACGCGCGTTGTCCATCCGGACGTCCGGGCACTAAGCGTGCCATTTGACTTTTCTTGCACAAACAATTGGAGCTCAAATGAAAGAATCTCTATCTCTATAAGACGAAACGAGGGCCAAGATCTGCCCTCTCATTGGGCCACGTCGCCCGTCTTTATCCTCCATTGGATGTTGATCGGACAATCCACACGGTGCAGCAGCTAATGATTCTAGAGCCTTCGTCTCCGGCGTGAGACAAAGCCACCGCCGCCATCCCCACACCGGGTTGCCACACCGCCATGATGGGAACGGGTCTGCCACGCCATGGCTGGGAGCCTGCCGGCCTGGGACACCACACCACCGCGCCATAGGGGCAGACCCTCCTTTTAGGTTTGTCTGCCAGATCGGCCGATGCGCACGCGGACACCACGAGGCAAGCGCTAACACCAGCGTGGCATTGCGATGGAGAGCCCCACGTCGACGGCGTGAAAGCCCTAGTTTGGTTTTGGTTAATTGATGAAACCTATTTTGGGCTAATCCTTGTATCTAAGTATGTGACTTGATAGGATGGTCCAATCCAAGTGGTGGAGCAAGATGAAGTCCATTGTGATGTTGGTGGACATGTGATGATGATGATCATGCTCTAGACTTGGAAAAGAAGAAAGAGAAAAACAGAATGAGCTCAAGGCAAAGGTATATTTGCTAGGGCCATTTTGTTTTGCCACTCAAGACATCAAGTGGGTGTGAGTGGATTTAGGATAGATAGCCATACTATCAAGAGAGGAGAATCTCGGTTAAAACGGTTGTCAAGTGCCACTAGGTGAAGTGATTCGTACATATGCATTAGGACCTAGTAAGCTAACAAATTAACCTTTGAAAATGCTTTAAAAATGCTAACACACGTGCACTATGGTGAGACACTTTGTTGTTGGCGATGTGGAATAGGGTGGTTTAGTTTAGTTGTTGGAAAAAGAAATAAAAGAGAAAGGGGGGAAGGAGAAGAGGATTGGACCCTGGGCGTCGGACCCAGGGTCGCGGATCCGGTAGGCCCGCTTGCTGCTGTGCGCGCGATCCCTCTCTCGGACCGAGGAGCCTAGCGGGTCCGACTTGGCTTCACGGGATTGACACAGCGGCAGTGGCGCGCGTGCGCTTGCTTTGGACCGCAGGGCAGCAGCAAGCTTTGTTGGGACCAAATCTCGTAGTTTCGTCAGAGTAGATGCATCGATTGTTCTGGCTACACGGTAGTGCACACGAGGAAATTCCTAGAATAGTTCAATATGTTCAGCTTTAGAAAACTTGAAATAAGCATTATGAATCAGCATTCCAGTTAGAAGAAAGTAAAATTGTAGTGATACTTCATAGTCAAATTTATCCTGTTTTCAACCAATTTCCTTCCATTCATGATTCCATTCAGTGGAAAAACATTGCAGCTGATGTTCCTTGTTGCTAGTTTTTCTATGGTGGCAGAACTAGTGCCAATCCAACACCATGTCACTTGTGTGTTGCAGTGTAAAATACTTTTATAGCCGCAGGTTTCCAGAAATGATATACGATTAACATGTGATGTATGCTACTATATATGGAGGATAAACAGCTACTGAAGAGAGGTCATGTCCGACAACTTGAGGTAGAACAGCACCTAGAAGGAGGGAACTGGATAAGGGATGGACATAAAATAGCCTGTAAGAGGAAGATCACACAGTAAGACTGTGAACTCGGAGACTTGCTTAATTTATCTTGCTTCCTTTTAAAGTTGTCTCGTCACAAGGGCCTGGCCATAACAACCATATCTATCTTCATCCAAATAAAGAGTGTCATCTTATCACTAAACAAAGGACATGATAAGATTTCATCTCAATAAACAATAATAAAGCAAACTATGAGATATAACCCAAGGTACTACTCTGATGAGCCCTAACATGGCGCAAAGATTTTTACAATCCTTATTCAGTGGCTGTACAGTAATGCACACTATACATGATTTCCTCTTACAGCATAAAATCAAAACAAACATGAAGGTATGAAGACTCTACATACAGCATAAAATGGTAAGACAGTACCCTCAATGATGCAAACACTGTAGCAATTCTTGTAGCCATTGTGATAAGGCATGCATTGTACTTGTGTGAGCCTTCTGCATCCTCGTACCGCCGACTCAAAATCCAACAACACAAAACACACACTACCGGAGACGGCTTCTTTGCCGAGTGTCTCACACTTTGCCGAGTGCTTTTTATCGGGCACTCGGCAAAGAGGCTGTTTACCGAGTGCCAC